TTTTTCGCCCCGAAAAACGAAAAAAAAAACGAAAAGGGGTAACACTGTCGTTTTTTTTTCGGGTCAAATTTTTGAATTTCGATATCTCAGCTCTGGAAGGGTCTAGAGGCCTCCATTTTTGCACTCAGGTCAAAGTCTCGTGGCCCTCTATCAGAATCCAGAGTTTTTGAGAAGATTGGAGAAACTTAATTTTTCGCTCCGAAAACGAAAAAAAAACGTAAGGGGTAACACTGTCGTTTTTTTTTCGGGTCGAAATTTTGAATTTCGATATCTCAGCTCTGGAAGGGTCTAGAGCCTCCATTTTTGCACTCAGGTCAAAGTCTCGTGGCCCTCTATCAGAATCCAGAGTTTTGAGAAGATTGGAAAACTTAATTTTTCGCCCGAAAACGAAAAAAAAAAACGAAAGGGGTAACACTGTCGTTTTTTTCGGGTCGAAATTTTGAATTTCGATATCTCAGCTCTGGAAGGGTCTAGAGCCTCCATTTTTGCACTCAAGTCAAAGTCTCGTGGCCCTCTATCAGAATCAAGAGTTTTGAGAAGATTGGAGAAACTTAATTTTTCGCCCGAAAACGAAAAAAAAACGAAAGGGGTAACACTGTCGGTTTTTTTTTGGGTAGAAATTTTGAATTCCGATATCTCAGCTTTGTAAGGGTCTAGAGCCTCCATTTTTGGACTCAGGTTAAAGTCTCGTGGCCCTCTATCAGAATCCATAGTTTTGAGAAGATTGGAGAAACTTAATTTTTCGCCCGAAAACGAAAAAAAACGTAAGGGGTAACACTGTTTTTTTTTTCGGGTCGAAATTTTAGTTTCGATATCTCAGCTCTGGAAGGGTCTAGAGCCTCCATTTTTGCACTCAGGTCAAAGTCTCGCGGCCCTCTATCATAATCCAGAGTTTTGAGAAGATTGGAGAAACTTGATTTTTCGCCCGAAAACGAAAAAAAACGTAAGGGGTAACACTGTCGTTTTTTTTTTCGGGTCGAAATTTTTTGAGTTTCGATATCTCAGCTCTGGAAGGGTCTAGAGCCTCCATTTTTGCGCTCAGGTCAAAGTCTCGCGGCCCTCTATCATAATCCAGAGTTTTGAGAAGATTGGAGAAACTTAATTTTTCGCCCGAAAACGAAAAAAAAACGAAAGGGGTAACACTGTCGTTTTTTTTTTCGGGTCGAAATTTTGAATTTCGATATCTCAGCTCTGGAAGGGTCTAGAGCCTCCATTTTTGCACTCAGGTCAAAGTCTCGCGGCCCTCTATCATAATCCAGAGTTTTGAGAAGATTGGAGAAAACTTTAATTTTCGCCCGAAAACGAAAAAAAACGAAAGGGGTAACACTGTCGTTTTTTTTTTTCGGGTCGAATTTTGAATTTCGATATCTCAGCTCTGGAAGGGTCTAGAGCCTCCATTTTTGCACTCAGGTCAAAGTCTCGTGGCCCTCTATCAGAATCCAGAGTTTTGAGAAGATTGGAGAAACTTTAATTTTTCGCCGAAAAATGAAAAAAAACAAAGGGGTAACACTGTCGTTTTTTTTTTGGGTCGAAATTTTGAAGTTTCGATATCTCAGCTCTGGAAGGGTCTAGAGCCTCCATTTTTGCACTCAGGTCAAAGTCTCGCGGCCCTCTATCAGAATCCAGAGTTTTGAGAAGATTGGAGAAACTTAATTTTCGCCCGAAAACGAAAAAAAAACGAAAGGGGGTAACACTGTCGTTTTTTTTCGGGTCGAAATTTGAATTTCGATATCTCAGCTCTGGAAGGGTCTAGAGCCTCCATTTTTGCACTCAGGTCAAAGTCTCGCGGCCCTCTATCATAATCCAGAGTTTTGAGAAGATTGGAGAAACTTGATTTTTCGCCCGAAAACGAAAAAAAAAACGTAAGGGGTAACACTGTCGTTTTTTTTTTCGGGTCGAAATTTTGAGTTTCGATATCTCAGCTCTGGAAGGGTCTAGAGCCTCCATTTTTGCACTCAGGTCAAAGTCTCGCGGCCCTCTATCATAATCCAGAGTTTTGAGAAGATTGGAGAAACTTGATTTTTCGTCCGAAAACGAAAAAAAACGTAAGGGGTAACACTGTCGTTTTTTTTTCGGGTCGAAATTTTGAGTTTCGATATCTCAGCTCTGGAAGGGTCTAGAGCCTCCATTTTTGCGCTCAGGTCAAAGTCTCGCGGCCCTCTATCATAATCCAGAGTTTTGAGAAGATTGGAGAAACTTAATTTTTCGCCCGAAAACGAAAAAAAACGAAAGGGGTAACACTGTCGTTTTTTTTTCGGGTCGAAATTTTGAGTTTCGATATCTCAGCTCTGGAAGGGTCTAGAGCCTCCATTTTTGCGCTCAGGTCAAAGTCTCGCGGCCCTCTATCATAATCCAGAGTTTTGAGAAGATTGGAGAAACTTGATTTTTCGCCCGAAAACTGAAAAAAAACGTAAGGGGTAACACTGTCGTTTTTTTTTTCGGGTCGAAATTTTGAGTTTCGATATCTCAGCTCTGGAAGGGTCTAGAGCCTCCATTTTTGCACTCAGGTCAAAGTCTCATGCCCTCTATCAGAATCCAGAGTTTTGAGAAGATTGGAGAAACTTAATTTTTCGCCGAAAACGAAAAAAAACGAAAGGGGTAACACTGTCGTTTTTTTTTTCGGGTCGAATTTTTGAGTTTCGATATCTCAGCTCTGGAAGGGTCTAGAGCCTCCATTTTTGCACTCAGGTCAAAGTCTCGCGGCCCTCTATCATAATCCAGAGTTTTGAGAAGATTGGAGAAACTTGATTTTTCGCCCGAAAACGGAAAAAACGTAAGGGGTAACACTGTCGTTTTTTTTTTTTCGGGTCGAAATTTTGAGTTTCGATATCTCAGCTCTGGAAGGGTCTAGAGCCTCCATTTTTGCGCTCAGGTCAAAGTCTCGCGGCCCTCTATCATAATCCAGAGTTTTGGAGAAGATTGGAGAAACTTGATTTTTCGCCCGAAAACGAAAAAAAACGAAAGGGTAACACTGTCGTTTTTTTTTCGGGTCGAAATTTTGAGTTTCGATATCTCAGCTCTGGAAGGGTCTAGAGCCTCCATTTTTGCACTCAGGTCAAAGTCTCGCGGCCCTCTATCATAATCCAGAGTTTTGAGAAGATTGGAGAAACTTGATTTTTTCGCCCGAAAATGAAAAAAAACGTAAGGGGTAAACACTGTCGTTTTTTTTTTCGGGTCGAAATTTTGAGTTTCGATATCTCAGCTCTGGAAGGGTCTAGAGCCTCCATTTTTGCGCTCAGGTCAAAGTCTCGTGGCCCTCTATCATAATCCAGAGTTTTGAGAAGATTGGAGAAACTTGATTTTTCACCCGAAAACGAAAAAAACGTGAGAGGTAACACTGTCGTTTTTTTTTTCGGGTCGAAATTTTGAGTTTCGATATCTCAGCTCTGGAAGGGTCTAGAGCCTCCATTTTTGCGCTCAGGTCAAAGTCTCGAGGCCCTCTATCATAATCCAGAGTTTTGAGAAGATTGGAGAAACTTGATTTTTCGCCCGAAAACGAAAAAAAACGAAAGGGGTAACACTGTCGTTTTTTTTGGGGTCGAAATTTTGGGATCTCAATATCTTAGCTCTGGAAGGGTCTAGAGCCTCCATTTTTGCACTCAGGTCTAAGTCCCATGGCCCTCTATCAGAATCCAGAGTTTCAAGAAGATCAGAAAAACTCAAAATTTCGACCCCAAAAAAAACAAAACGACAGTGTTACCCTGTCATTTTTTTTTTTTTTTGGTGCGAAACAATTTGTTTTTCCAATCTTCTTGAAACTCTGGATTCTGATAAATGGCCATGGGACTTAGGGGCTGAGTGCAAAAATGGAGGCTCTAGACCCTTCCAGAGCTGAGATATTAAGATCCCATGTAGCATTTATGCCATTATGATCCCACATAGCATTTTTGCCATTATAAATATCTCAATATCTCAACCCTCGAAATTTTGGGTTTCTCTGGGGTCGAAATTTTGAGTTTCTCTGATCTTCTTGAAACTCTGGATTCTGATAGAGGGCCATGAGACTTAGACCTGAGTGCAAAAATGGAGGCTCTAGACCCTTCCAGAGCTGAGATATTGAGATATTTATAATGGCATAAATGCTACGTGGGATCTCCATTGCTGCGTTCCAAACCGCATATTTCCCTACTATTTAGTATGGAAAAAAGAGTAGGCGAGCAAAAAAGTATGAATGAATCCAAAAGAGTAGGCGAGAATTACCTGGGTGACGTAGTAATTGTCGTGAGATTCGGACTTAAGTGCGTTCCAATATGCCTACTTTCCTACTATATAGTAGGCGAAAACAGTACGTGAAGGAAGCAGTATGTTCGTTTTCATAAAAGAGTAGGTGAGAAGTTCTCGGATCGCTTACTGCTTCCGCCCAGATTTTTGAGTGCTGTCCGATGGGTACTCATGATACTCATCGATCTATCCGAGGAGGCCACGTGAGAGGATTCGTCAGTATCAACATCGTGGAGATCAGCGACGCGGGGGTTTTGAAATGTGAGTAAACATGGTTCCATTGTGTTTAAATCGGATGTGTTAAACTACTTTAGAGTAAGTTGAAGGTCTAAAGTAGTTAGACAGTATAGTATAGTTGTGATTTTGCTGTAAACACATGTTTTATTATGTATAGCTAACCAGGGGAGCTCCAGTAACCATAAAGTTACTTTTCCAAAGTGGATTTACCTAACCATACATCTTAAATACGCTTTTTTAAAATGTCTGTTTACATCAGGAAGGAAAATATTGTATAAGTATTGCAGGTGAGCACATCCCAACATGAAAAATACATGTGTGTGCTATTATGTAGGATAATTCACTGTTGTCAACACTGCTTGCATTAGACAAATATGTGCTGTAAATAAACACTTCTATAAAGTAACTAAACATGATATATAGTTAATTTGTCCCTTATTAGTGTTGATATATTGAAGAACATTTAAGTTGGATTAAAAGTGAGTTAACACATCAACCTCAGCATAAATGCAGTGTTGAGCTCATAATGAGAATCTTTTCTGTATGTTACAGGGACAGAAGAACACGCGTGTGTTTATCCGGTGGAGAGAGGCTCATGATGCTGAATGCTGTCATCAATGGCTCTGAGTGAGTACAGTGGTATGAATAAGTTTTGGCACCCATGCTAAAGTTGCCTAAAAAGAGGAATAAAAAAAATCATCTTTTGGATATTGATCCACACCTAGAGATTGACATGGTTTTACTTCGGTTAGCCTAATAGCTGGTTTGATTTGCATTGAAAGATGATCTTATGGAAAGTACCCCATGCCAATCTCTAGGTGTGGTGGAAGGTGTGTGATGATGTGGGGATATTTTAATTCCAAAGGCCAAGGGAACTTTATCAGGATGCATATTATCCTGGATCCATGAAATAACTGGCTTTTAAAAATAAAAATCTGCCTGACTCTATGGGAATTTAACATAGGGATGCCCTGACTTATGCACCCTGTATTTTAAGGAAAAACATTTATTTAATTTATGATGCATTATTCATTCACAAAGAAAATTTGTGTCCTTAAAGGTTGGAGTTTTCCTCATTTTTCTAATTAAGGCATTAAGATCAATATCCAAAAGATTTTTATTCCTCTTTTTAGGCAACTTTAGCATGGGTGCCAAAACCTATTCATACCACTGAATACTACAGAAATGGATGACAAAATCTATTGAATGTTAAGTTGTAGTTTATTTGAATGATTGTAACTTCAAACTGAGAAATTACAACAACACCTTTCTGAGTCTTGATTTCTGCATTTTGCTGCAGAGCTTTTGTGGTGGAGCAGGACCTGCAAGGAAAGATGATGGCAGCATTTGTTGGGGGAAAAAAAGGTTTCAGGGATTTAACTCAAATATAAAGTAAGGCTATTTTTAATAGATAAATCAAATGACATTGTGCTGTTAAAATGACTGCTTTTGTGTAAAGTTTGTGAGCATTTTTGTAGGATCTGAAAAGTCTGCAGACTGGTGTGAGCACTGAGGATGAGGAGCCCAGAGCTGAATCCTGGAAGTGGTGCCATGGATGAGTCCCTCCATCTGTCCACCTGCCCTTATGAGTTCCTCCATCTCTCCACCTGCCCTTACAAGACCCTCTATCGCTCCACCTGCCCTTATTGCCTCAGATTGTGAAGCGCAGCAACAAGCTCCAGCACGAAGGCACAGTCCCCTCTGGTGAATTCATCAGAATAAAGCTGCAGAATGGGAACCGCTGTGTTGAGTCGGCAGTAGGATATGGTGTTCAGTGGCTGTAAATACATGCTTGTAGTTTGAGTAAAGCTTTGTTTCATGTGTTGTTGACTTGAATATGCATTTGTTTATTGTGATGGTTACTTTTATTTGTTATTTTACTAATTTATTCATGTTTCTAATTGTTGTCAGCATATAAAATTTAATTAATGTATGCATTAATTCATCGATTGACTGACGATTTAGATGTTTCACTGCATTTAGCAATATAAATGAATTCATGCATAACTGTCATATGACAAAACAAATTACATTTAGCTTGTTTTATAAAATTATATTTTTAGTATATAAAAAGTTATCTAATTCAGTATTGGTCAACATTTAATATTATTATTTTGATTAAGTTTTGGGGTGGGCTAACAATGCAATTCATTCTGAGGTAATATTAATTTTTTTGAGTATAAAATCAACAGTTTTCTCCAAAAGAGGTCTTCGAGCAGCTGTCCGTCTCCTTTGTGCAGACATTACAAACGCAGAGGAAAACTGTTCTAGGTTGTGCTGTCGAGTCACTGATGTTATGAAGTGTTAGTGCACCTGTCGCTTAAACTTATTACATGCAAGATCATGGAAAGATACTATAGTTTATGTAACAATCATAATGCAAAACAGAAAATATAAAGATCATTGGTTTGTGTACATCATAATATGACATAAAATTATATTTATACACAAGAACAATAAAAAAGGCTAAATATCTTCATTATAGTTCGTCATAATACATTAAAAGAAGTTGTTATATGTCTGAGGGATGAAACGAGGTAAATTCATGAAGGAAAAAGAGGAAAACCTAAAGGAGAAACTTTTTGGGTATAAAAAAAAGAAATTAACAACATAATCAAGAGATGATGATTTTGGAGTTTCTTAATAAAAAATATCGTTATAAGAATAACACTGTTGGTCATTAGTAGAGTTTAAAATATAACAACTTAAATCAACCGTAAATGTATTCACAAAATAAATGGGCAGCTGTTTCTTCAACAATACCACAACAAAATGAGCAAGTTTCATCAATATCAAGATATTTATAGATGAACGTATGAATTAAACGTATCGTTCATATATTAAGGTGTTGCGCTTGTGATAACGCGTAGTAGGTCACATGATAACGTCAACATGGCAGATGTCCGGTTGGCATTCATACTCAACGAGATTTGGCTATAAAGTACTCTGGATTCTGATAAAGGGTCATGAGACTTAGACCTGAGTGTAAAAATGGAGGCTCTAGACCCTTCCAGAACTGAGATATTCAGATAATAATGGCATAAACGCTACGTGGGATCTCAATATCTCAGCTCTGGAAGGGTCTAGAGCCTCCATTTTTGCACTCAGGTCTAAGTCTCATGGCCCTCTATCATAATCCAGAGTTTTGAGAAGATTGGAGAAACTTGATTTTTCGCCCGAAAACGAAAAAAAACGTAAGGGGTAACACTGTCGTTTTTTTTTCGGGTCGAAATTTTGAGTTTCGATATCTCAGCTCTGGAAGGGTCTAGAGCCTCCATTTTTGCGCTCAGGTCAAAGTCTCGCGGCCCTCTATCATAATCCAGAGTTTTGAGAAGATTGGAGAAACTTGATTTTTCGCCCGAAAACGAAAAAAAACGTAAGGGGTAACACTGTCGTTTTTTTTTCGGGTCGAAATTTTGAGTTTCGATATCTCAGCTCTGGAAGGGTCTAGAGCCTCCATTTTTGCGCTCAGGTCAAAGTCTCGCGGCCCTCTATCATAATCCAGAGTTTTGAGAAGATTGGAGAAACTTGATTTTTCGCCCGAAAACGAAAAAAAACGTAAGGGGTAACACTGTCGTTTTTTTTTCGGGTCGAAATTTTGAGTTTCGATATCTCAGCTCTGGAAGGGTCTAGAGCCTCCATTTTTGCGCTCAGGTCAAAGTCTCGCGGCCCTCTATCATAATCCAGAGTTTTGAGAAGATTGGAGAAACTTGATTTTTCGCCCGAAAACGAAAAAAAACGTAAGGGGTAACACTGTCGTTTTTTTTTCGGGTCGAAATTTTGAGTTTCGATATCTCAGCTCTGGAAGGGTCTAGAGCCTCCATTTTTGCGCTCAGGTCAAAGTCTCGCGGCCCTCTATCATAATCCAGAGTTTTGAGAAGATTGGAGAAACTTGATTTTTCGCCCGAAAACGAAAAAAAACGTAAGGGGTAACACTGTCGTTTTTTTTTCGGGTCGAAATTTTGAGTTTCGATATCTCAGCTCTGGAAGGGTCTAGAGCCTCCATTTTTGCGCTCAGGTCAAAGTCTCGCGGCCCTCTATCATAATCCAGAGTTTTGAGAAGATTGGAGAAACTTGATTTTTCGCCCGAAAACGAAAAAAAACGTAAGGGGTAACACTGTCGTTTTTTTTTCGGGTCGAAATTTTGAGTTTCGATATCTCAGCTCTGGAAGGGTCTAGAGCCTCCATTTTTGCGCTCAGGTCAAAGTCTCGCGGCCCTCTATCATAATCCAGAGTTTTGAGAAGATTGGAGAAACTTGATTTTTCGCCCGAAAACGAAAAAAAACGTAAGGGGTAACACTGTCGTTTTTTTTTCGGGTCGAAATTTTGAGTTTCGATATCTCAGCTCTGGAAGGGTCTAGAGCCTCCATTTTTGCGCTCAGGTCAAAGTCTCGCGGCCCTCTATCATAATCCAGAGTTTTGAGAAGATTGGAGAAACTTGATTTTTCGCCCGAAAACGAAAAAAAACGTAAGGGGTAACACTGTCGTTTTTTTTTCGGGTCGAAATTTTGAGTTTCGATATCTCAGCTCTGGAAGGGTCTAGAGCCTCCATTTTTGCGCTCAGGTCAAAGTCTCGCGGCCCTCTATCATAATCCAGAGTTTTGAGAAGATTGGAGAAACTTGATTTTTCGCCCGAAAACGAAAAAAAACGTAAGGGGTAACACTGTCGTTTTTTTTTCGGGTCGAAATTTTGAGTTTCGATATCTCAGCTCTGGAAGGGTCTAGAGCCTCCATTTTTGCGCTCAGGTCAAAGTCTCGCGGCCCTCTATCATAATCCAGAGTTTTGAGAAGATTGGAGAAACTTGATTTTTCGCCCGAAAAAAAAAAAAACGTAAGGGGTAACACTGTCGTTTTTTTTTCGGGTCGAAATTTTGAGTTTCGATATCTCAGCTCTGGAAGGGTCTAGAGCCTCCATTTTTGCGCTCAGGTCAAAGTCTCGCGGCCCTCTATCATAATCCAGAGTTTTGAGAAGATTGGAGAAACTTGATTTTTCGCCCGAAAACGAAAAAAAACGTAAGGGGTAACACTGTCGTTTTTTTTTCGGGTCGAAATTTTGAGTTTCGATATCTCAGCTCTGGAAGGGTCTAGAGCCTCCATTTTTGCGCTCAGGTCAAAGTCTCGCGGCCCTCTATCATAATCCAGAGTTTTGAGAAGATTGGAGAAACTTGATTTTTCGCCCGAAAACGAAAAAAAACGTAAGGGGTAACACTGTCGTTTTTTTTTCGGGTCGAAATTTTGAGTTTCGATATCTCAGCTCTGGAAGGGTCTAGAGCCTCCATTTTTGCGCTCAGGTCAAAGTCTCGCGGCCCTCTATCATAATCCAGAGTTTTGAGAAGATTGGAGAAACTTGATTTTTCGCCCGAAAACGAAAAAAAACGTAAGGGGTAACACTGTCGTTTTTTTTTCGGGTCGAAATTTTGAGTTTCGATATCTCAGCTCTGGAAGGGTCTAGAGCCTCCATTTTTGCGCTCAGGTCAAAGTCTCGCGGCCCTCTATCATAATCCAGAGTTTTGAGAAGATTGGAGAAACTTGATTTTTCGCCCGAAAACGAAAAAAAACGTAAGGGGTAACACTGTCGTTTTTTTTTCGGGTCGAAATTTTGAGTTTCGATATCTCAGCTCTGGAAGGGTCTAGAGCCTCCATTTTTGCGCTCAGGTCAAAGTCTCGCGGCCCTCTATCATAATCCAGAGTTTTGAGAAGATTGGAGAAACTTGATTTTTCGCCCGAAAAAAAAAAAACGTAAGGGGTAACACTGTCGTTTTTTTTTCGGGTCGAAATTTTGAGTTTCGATATCTCAGCTCTGGAAGGGTCTAGAGCCTCCATTTTTGCGCTCAGGTCAAAGTCTCGCGGCCCTCTATCATAATCCAGAGTTTTGAGAAGATTGGAGAAACTTGATTTTTCGCCCGAAAACGAAAAAAAACGTAAGGGGTAACACTGTCGTTTTTTTTTCGGGTCGAAATTTTGAGTTTCGATATCTCAGCTCTGGAAGGGTCTAGAGCCTCCATTTTTGCGCTCAGGTCAAAGTCTCGCGGCCCTCTATCATAATCCAGAGTTTTGAGAAGATTGGAGAAACTTGATTTTTCGCCCGAAAACGAAAAAAAACGTAAGGGGTAACACTGTCGTTTTTTTTTCGGGTCGAAATTTTGAGTTTCGATATCTCAGCTCTGGAAGGGTCTAGAGCCTCCATTTTTGCGCTCAGGTCAAAGTCTCGCGGCCCTCTATCATAATCCAGAGTTTTGAGAAGATTGGAGAAACTTGATTTTTCGCCCGAAAACGAAAAAAAACGTAAGGGGTAACACTGTCGTTTTTTTTTCGGGTCGAAATTTTGAGTTTCGATATCT